TACAAATGTTGTGGTACTGCTGGCTTTTATTAGCTTTAATGTTGAACAACAACGTTTGTGGGTTGGTACACAAGCGACTAGAACATAACAAGTCATAGACTTGGTATTAGGGATAGAGACAAGATAGACGAGGCGGCGATTGGAGCTAGTTGGCTGACAATAGGTTTTACAAGAGACGAGGTCCATATTTCAAAGGCAGGACCCAGGTGCAAGGCATTGACGAACTACGCCTCGAGTAGTACAGATGGGGAAGGGACAGGGGTTGAGTGAAATACATGTACCAGAGAAATAGCAGACAGATTATGTGTTGCAAGAGGGAGACTCTGATAGGACCCAGATAAGGACTACATAACAATTTGACAGAGTCTGATCAACATTCCTAGCACAAGGGTGAAGTTGATGATAACAACAGCGTGTAGTGTAAAGGGTTTTCATGAATGCTGCTCGAAGGAGCACACCACACTGCATTAAAAATAAATGCGGTAAAAATTGTGACAGAGAAGAAATGATAGGAGGATATATGAAATGTGAATGGCTCAGGGCAGAAGAGGAGATTCCACAACTTTTTAGCACACGTTTGGTCAAAGGATCGGCTTCACTTGTCTCTTTGAAGAATTGTAATATGATGCTAAGAATGGCGAGACTCACTTCCGATGCCGACTACGACGCCGGCAAAACGTCTGGGAATGTACCACGTCCACGGTCCTACTCTGGAAATCATGATGCAAAAAATGGACTTTAGACTAGGTGCGTTCCTCTAAGTCTTCCTACCAATATGACCAAGTTGCGAAAACAAGGTCAAGCAACTACTATAGAACTGTGTCTATATAATTAACAGCTATGCATAAACTATCCTCTTATCAAGTTTTACTCTAACGTTACATATTTTTAGCTGAAGCTGGCTACCTTACACACATTTACAAAAGTTTTGTGTCATATAATCGAATGTTTCATACTTGTTGATCAGATCTCAATTTCGAGTAAAAGAGTTTGGCGAAAAGATTTTAAAAGTTGATACTATCAGAAGACGACCACTGACTTTTCTTGACTTTTTTATGACTGGCTCTACTAAAACCCTCTTGTATAGTCTATTTCTTAGCCAATCTCCTTCGAGTCCGGCGGAAACGTTCCAAGATTTCTTCCGTTGTATGACGATCATTATAACAGCAGAGTTTTTTCTTTACAACCTTATTTAATCTAAGAATTCAAGAAGATTGCAGTCAAAATTAATAATACCAATACTTGATAGCTTAAATATAGCTTTAAGGATGGAACCCGTATCTGGTAATATCTGTTATAAGATGGACGAAAGCTTAACATGTTTTCACTGGAATCAGCAGCAGATTAACCTAGGAAATAATATCAATTAAAATATTTTAATAGAGCTAATCGAAAGCTGGTTAAGTAAAATGCACAATCGTCTTCTGTTGGGATCGATCTTCTAATCACTGGGCGAAGCGCTTTCAATCGAAATGGAAGTAGGTTCCAAACCTGGAAGATATATATCTAGCATGTTGTGTTTACTAGTACCTCTCAAAAAAAAACATAGACATGTATTAAAATAGCCGATTTTTGATTTTTTTTAAAGATTTCTCTAGTACACTTTATGATTTTATGATTATGAAATTTGTTGGGGATAAAAATACCTAAAAATTAGTCAAAATATTAGACTAGTTATTAAATAAAATATAATAAAAAATATAAAATTTTTAATTTTTACATAAAAATTTATATGGGCTAATAATTTTGGTTTTTGGTATTAGAAAGGTTTGTTTTTACTAATGTTTTCTTTATGCGCTTAGTCTAACGCCGCTGCTTTATATTTAATTATTTTCTATACCTCTGTAGCCTGAGATTCCCTGTATAATTCAAACTTTAAAGGCCGTTTAATCCCTTATATTATGCTGTATTCTCGGAGTATCCGATATAGCTCAAATAAATTGTTCTATCATGGTCTTCGCTGCTTTTCTAAGCATTCTCCTGCACCTTCAAACCAAGACCCATCTAACGCTTCATGTCAAAAAGCTAAGAAATCAGATGAGGAAAATAAAACATCAAAGAAATTCGTCTACGAGAGATTTGCTGATGATGTGAATCCCTTAACTGGTGAAGTTGAGGGTCCTCGTGGTCCTGAGCCTACTCGATATGGTGATTGGGAAAGAAAAGGACGTTGCATTGATTTTTAGGCTTCCCTAGCTTATTGTATTGTACGGATTTATTTTTCCTAACAAATAAATGGCTTTTCTAACTCATTTTGCTTTCGAATATCTTAAAACTTGGTAATATACAGCTTCCTTTTTAGGCTGGTGTTTGCCTCATCAACTTTCTTGTACATCGTGAAATAAGGGGTACATTCGCCATTTCGAATCTATTTTCAAAAATCAATGGGTTTAGATCTCTTCGTTTATTTGATATTCTTCCCAAAAATACCACTGATGATATCTTTATCGGGTTTACTGTCAATGGACACTTTTTAGTCT